TGTTTAATGGGTCTATACAATGTTATAAAAGCAGTTATGTTTTGAAAAAGATCTATGTAATAAAAGATGGTAATATAAATATTTTCTGAGAATTGGCATGTTTTAATCACACCGAAAGACAAAAAAAAAACCCTCATCGCATAATCAATATCAATATGCTCAACACATTTATTATAAAACAAAACAAGCTTTATTATAGGCATAAAGTAATTTACAAAGAATTATGTACTTATTGTTTATAATACATAAAACATTTAAGAAGTTTTGTCTTGTTTTAACTTAAATAATGAATCTTCCAGTAGGCCTATATAAACAAATAGATTTGCCTGTTACAAAACAATGTAGGAGCTGAACTTCTTCTTGACTCTCATCTTGTACACTGAAAATAATAGTACTATTTTTACTACGTGGCTAAAAAAGCACAAATATTGTCATTACTACAACTGACAGGGCCATCGTTAAATTAAATACGAGCCCAAAATATAGCATCATATTGAATACGTCATCTGACATCATGGGAACCTAAACTTTAATTACAATTATTTGTTTACTAGGCCTAATTCGAAATTTGTTTTAAGACTTTAACCTAATACAAACTGATTAATAATAGCTAAGATTTGATGCACATTTCAGAATTAATAATCGTTTTTAGTATCTTACTGAATATTTATTGTCTACCAAATGAAATATGAATTATATATGAATCTTTAGAAATACAATTTCTACAATATTAATCTTGTTTTTATATAGATAAATGTTCGATAAATACTATCTTTCATAAAACAAACGAAATTCAGCGCGTCTATTTTCATTCCAACCAATGGCGTTTGTAAACATGTGCACTGACGTCATCGTCGAATCCCAGGACTTTCGACGGCAAAGCTGGCCTGCCTACCTAGGTCCCAGGCCAACCAATAATAATTAACAAAATGTATTATTTTTTTTAAATATAGGCCTATGGCGCATCCTGTACATGCACTTCAACTTTTACAACAAAAGCCTAGGCCTAGTAGTATGTGCTACTGTACTTAAGCCTAGGCCTACAATAGTTTGATATCGTCGGGGTATAATTCTAAACTAAATGCAGCATGACCACTAGGGAAAATCAAAATTAAAGATTGGGTCTAAAAAATCCAAAGATTGCTTTTAAAAACCCAAGATTCGCAAAATATTAGTATATATACATAAACTTCATTTTAAAGCGTTTTCAATGAATTATATATTGTACAGTATTTTGTACTGTATAAGCCTTAACGAAGTGTCTGGATTTTCGAGACCAGAAACTCGTTCGCTTTGGGCCATTAGAAGGCCTACTCTGCGCGTCCGTGGAAAATCCGTTTTGGTGACTTATGGCCAACTCAGACAGCGTCGGCCGACACAGCCCGACCCGATTTATCGTCGGGGACAGTCTTAAGCCTTCGTGAGAAATATTAAGCACGTTTAATATTCTACTACGCGACTGCCCCCCCCCCCCCACGCACACCATCGCGTCTGCGTTCAACTCACACAGAGACCCGACGCGACAACAAATCGCGTCGGGCTGCGTCGGCCGACGCTGTCTGAGTTGGCCTTAAAACGTGATATCCTTTCCTCTGGCATTGTATGTTAGGCCAAGAGTTTGAAGTTTGTGCGCAATTTCACCCATTCGATATTAACAAAGTCAGTACTTCACACACATTAGGCCTATGGCCTTATTATATAAAGAGTATAATCGATCTTTACAGAGTGTCTAATTGATCTGTCAATTTCATACGAGGGGCCTACTGTACTGCATAGGAGTATTTAAAAAATAAGAAAAATTGGGAAAACAGTTTCGTTTGAAATTATGAAACCGGGTCTATGGCAACTATAATTTGATACTACGTCTAGAAGTGTAGAGATACGGACCCTATTATTAAAAACTGTTGAATTCTAAATGATTACAAGATGACCAAGCATATGAATGAATCAGTCTAAAATGATATTCAAAGATATTATACAGCTGTTTCGCATAGCTATTTCACACCATCACTCACAAATTGGTCGTAAAATTTGATAACAAGTTGAACATTAAAATCTATTTTAAATATTTATCCGTACACCGATTTGTTTCAAGTTGTTTGTTTTCAATATTATAGCTGTTTCTTTACGATGACAATGTTTTGAAATCGTACTGTATAACACGCCAAAATCTGTTTTATGGGCAAACAACAGAAGGCTCTAAATTTTTACAAGTTGACCAAGCGTGTTGCTGCATCATTATTGTTCAGTTATGATCACTATTCAGACAGAGAGCAGCAGGCTGATAATTTGTTTTTCCCACGGCTATTTAGATGTCGTTGTTGGTAACTTTTTTTTTAATTGTGAGTGTAAATATTCTCTAGTGTATATATACTGTAGATAAGAATTGTATATAAATAATGCACATAAAATCAATTGTCGATGAAGAACGGCGTCAGTCATCTGATTAGTCCCATATTAATAGTACCGATATTTTGAATACTCCTCTTCCGCGAATTGTTTTATTGACAGTGACTCATCTAATTCTTATATAATCACTTTAACATTTAAATCGAAATAGTTCACCATATCGTAAAAGTTTGAATACCCACCCAAATCGTTGGCAATCCTCGGTGTATGTTATGTTAATGAAACATGTCATACTGTACAACGACGGAATGTGTATTACAAAATGCCAGTACGTATTTTTTAGATTTTGACGCACTCCGTTCTGTTGTGTGTCTGCTGTTGAAAACAAACTTCCTAATTTTGTGACTTGCTATGATGACTGAGATGGACCATGTTGATTTAATAATAATATGTTATTTGGGATGGAAAAAAGGAGAGTCAATTTTCCAAAAATGCTCCATCAGCTATGAAATTTAGTAACCACACAATCCACAATCATCAAGTCGCAAAACTTTAGCTGCATTTGGTGGATTAACTTGTCGCAAAACTTTATCTTCGTTTGGTGGCGCCACTTACTCTAGGTAGACGGAGACCGGTTTCGTTACCGGTTGGTACATTTTTTACAAACATTCAGCCAAAGGCCAGTGAAAGTCATCCTTATGTACGTGAGCTATCGTAAAGTCATGGTTTGCCGGAGTTGCGTTCAATTTAAATCTCCGAACTTCTGAACCTGAGATATTTAATATAGGCTTGTATCGCAGGCTACAATTTAAAAACGGGTGACCAAATAATGAATTAGGTGCTAAATTTTGATTTAATGCTGGGTAATGAGTCAGAGTGGGACTCATTCAAAAATTCGAGGGGAGATGTGTATAAGAGACAGGTTTACTAGGCCTAATTCGATACCCCCCCCCCCCCTGGCTACGGGCCTGGAATTATTGTCAAGCATCCAGTCCAGGAATTTGAAATAGAGGAGCCTGGGCAGGGAATATTTACCGATAAATAGTGTAGATCAGCACCAGCTTCCATCATTTCAAAACTACCCATAATGGCCCAAATTTTCCCAGTATTTTATTTACAGAGGCATAAACCGTGAAGCCTTTTGGCCTCCACTGGAATTTGCCTGACTTATGTTGCTAAACTTTACTCCATCTTTTCTGAATATATATAAAACAAAAGCATAATATTACCTATTTCTGCCAATATTTAAAACTGAAAGTCAGGCACAAATCATTATCATTATTATATATTAATTAAGTTTCATCACCACTCTTTTAAAAATTGAGTAGCAAAACGGGGGGGGAGCACGTGCCCCCCCCCTACTGGATCTGCCCCTGGCTCAGTAAGTAGAGTAAAACAATTAATAGTAAACCCACTATACAACTCACACCAACATATATAATTATCCATGATGGATTTTCACATAGGTCGATGTCGGGGCCTTTTAAATGTAGGAGGGCGTATTTTGTCGTCGCCATCGTTGGTTTTTTAACATTTTCTTTTGCCGAGGATACTGGTAACATTGTAGGCTCTGCAATTTTAAAAACACAAATAAATTTTATGAGCTGCCTGTGGTTAAATCCATAAACACCTTTAAGAATACATATATTTTAAATATATATATCATAATGGTCCAAAATATTATTAATTATAAAATGAAATACTGTTCGAAAGTTTCGCTGATTTACAGACATTTCATTTTCGAAAATTAATTACAAGCCAATTTAGAGGTTTATACATCTTCATAAGCATGGATAAGCACATTAACACCATTTTGATATTTATAGATTTAACATGGAAATAACCAGTTTACAGTATATGAAATTTAAATAGGCTGCAAACGTCACAAGCCTCAGATGATGAATGACAATTATTTAACTTCCATTCTTTCTTTTATTTTATTTTATTTTATTTTATTTCAACCATCTTTAAAGAGGGTAACCCTTCCAGTTTAGCACAGCAGGTTAACTGATATTCAGGGGCCCTCTTTAATAAAACTAAAAAAAACAGTACAAACAACATCATTACAGCATAATAATAATAATAATAATAATAATAATAATAATAATAATAATAATAATGATAATGATAATGATGAGGATGATGATGATAATAATAATAATAATAATAATAAAATAATAATAATAATAATAATAATAATGATAACGATAACGTACAATCCTCATAACAAGTCTTAAAAGTATTAAATTGATTTACATAAAGACATAATTCAAAATAGAAATCTAATTTATAATGCCTAATATAATATAATATAGTATAATATAATATAATGTAATATAATATAGAATAAAATCAAACAAGGCTGAGAAAATATTCGTTTTTACTTAAGTTTAAATGTATTTTCTATTTTTCAGTCCCAGAGCTCAATTGGTAAATTATTATAAAAATTAGGACAAAGATAACTAAATGCACGTTTAAAACATTCCAAATTGACTTTGGGACAAGCTAAGTCACCTCTGGTTGAAGCTCGAGATCTTATAGCTCGGGCAGAGACTCTAGAAATTTTCTCCACAAGGTAACTAGGAGCAAAGTTGTTGATAACTTTAAAGGTAAGGCAGCCGCCCTGATATCGCACCCTTTGAGACACACACATTAAGTTGAGTGTGGATAGAAGTGTGTTGGTTGAAGTACGGGAATGATAAAGCTTTTACAGAATCCACTGTCATCCGAAGGACAACTTCCAACCTGGGAAATAACAGAAAGTAAAGTTTCTTATAGTCTGTATGCCTTTTTTGTCTTCCGTGCCATTATTATAAGATTACCAATAATTTTATCCTCCAAAACAGAAGCAGAACAAAATAATTAAAAATACTAATATTAAACATCAAAATACTTTTTAAACACTGTCCAGAAAGTCAAAAAATAATAAAGGACTTGTAGCAAGTCAATGTACTAACTTATATTAAAAGTCAGTCGTGACGTCATCACTGCAACTCCCAATGTTATTTGCCTGTCTCCAACAGTGCACTATTTTTCATATAGTGCACGGTTGGCTGAATCTTTTATGGTCCGTGTGCAAGACCAATTCAACAACATCGCGCACCGCGATGTATTCTAGGCTAGTGTTTTTACACCTAGCAGTACGACGCGCGCCTGCGGAAAGAAAGGAAAGACACCCACCAATAAGTTGCTTGTGGTAATTTTTAAAAAAATGACATTCTTAAAACAAAATATATTAGAACCCGAAGAAAGTCACTTCAAATTCAATATTATGCATACAAATTTACTTTCCATTAATCAATGGACCCCAATAACTAAAAGAACCTGAACATTTAATAGGAATATTTTAGGCCTATCTATAGTTTCAAAGATGCAAGGAACGAACTTAGATGTAAGCAGTATACCCAGGTCCAGCTTAGCCTGGCCTAGATCAATTTGTAAGCTTAGATGAAATCATCATACGATTTTTACCTGCCTGCACCGACCAAAATATGATTGTAGGCCTACTGGCGTATTCTCTCAAATACTTGAAGAAATTTTTATTTCTTTGGCGAATGTCATTTGACGAATGTCTATCAAAATAGTATGCTCATGACTTAAGTTAAGTTATTTAAGCACAATCGAATATTTATTCATCGTACTGCTGTGTAAACGTCGTACATACCATTTCATCTGCACTGCTGGCTAGGTCGTACTCTACTGCAGCAACAATCCGCACGCACAGCTATAAATGTAATACAGGCACAGATATACTGATCATATCACTATACCAACTTTTGACTATAACCACAGTTTGATTATAAAACTAGCATTAAAACACGGAGATTGACTTATAAAGCATTCTTATATATACACCAGGGGAAATTTATTACTCTTAGGTTAAAAACTCACATTTTGCTTGGTTTAGCCCGATATTTTTGTCATAGCAACGTTTAAGAACCTTTTTAATAATCTTGTGCTCAATTTGAGTTTTAGCATGTATTAAAATATCATTCATTAATACTTCAACACCATGAATATCATTAAATATTTCATTTATAAATAGTTGGAAAATTTCGGGTGCAAAAGTCACTACACGTGTGTTCAACTGCACCCTGTGTGATACCCACAACATCCTGTCATTAGGAATTCAACCACCACCACCTTAATAATATTAATTATTATAACTTAGATTCGAAAACATTGCTTTAGTTTTTGTATACTGAACTTCGAACAATATAGATCATCATATTAGTACAAACTTGAATACAAAGTTTACAGTTACAAGATGATTGAGACCCAAAACTGTATTCAGCAATTAAGAAAATGACAAGAAAACAATACAAAGTAGAATTGAGTGTAAAGTCGAAATATGGTATTATGATTAGAGAATGGTGGAAAGAGTAGAAGAACTATACTTTAATAATCGAGGAGAAAAACCAGACATAGGTGGTTGTGTATACCTAAGGAAAGTAAAAATAACCGAAGAAGTAAGCAGAGACCATAAATAAACTTACAAAGAATATAGCAACAGGTGTAGATGGTATACCAGCCGAATTAATACAAAACGTGCGAGATGACAACATGGTTGATAAATAAATTTTTACAACAGTAGTAAACTACCTTCAGATTTTACCGAGAGCACATTCATTGTCTTACCAAAAACAAACAATGCAACCGAGTGCTGTGACTTCAGAACTCTGATTACCCACTTCTCCAAGATATTATTTCAAATTATAAAAAGAATAGGCCAATAATATTCAATCAATCAATTCAATTTTATGTATAAATTTTAAGACTCTGATTACGAATAAACTCAATTAATTAATCAATGGTATAGCTTTAAACACAAAAACCAAAACCATAATAAAAAAAAATAAATAAATGATGAAGAAAAGGCATGCAAAATCAAAGTAAATAACACAGAATTAGATTGTGTAAAACAATACAAGTATTTAGGTACCATGGTGACTGAAGATGGGGTGGAATGACAGAAGTTAAAAGAATTGCTATTGCTATGCGTTCTGGAAATATGGAGAACTACTAAGAAATAACATAGCAATGAAAACAAAGAAAGTGCTGGAATGTTATATTATATATTCAGCAATCATTATACGATCAGGGAAGTAGAGAGGATTTTGAAAGGGGGAGTCGTCTTGCAAGGTACGTAGTACCGAGTAGGGGTTGGTTTGAGAGGGGGTGTCCCCCTCGCTACAGATGAGGTCCTGGGGACCAAAGCCCCATAGGAGTTAGCGCATTTTGAATGTTTTTATGACTGTTTTGATTGATTGATGACAAAAATTTTACAGATAAAGTGTAAATTGCAATAGACGTATCATAAATATTTGTAGGCCTAACAATAATTATAATAATAACCAAAAATAACTAAGAACATTCTTTATTAAAAATAGTCATAATCTAGTGGTGTTTCAATGATTTAAGGAGGGAGGTGCTCATGAAAGTAGAAGTCCACACAGTATTTTGTACCTCTGGAAGCCCGGAAATGGAACTTCAATTACCTTTTAATTTTTTTTATTTTTTGACAAATTGGGTTAAAAAACCGAATTAATTAAATAGGTACCCGAAAATGGCACTTGTATAATTTCAATTACAAAAACTACCACATCCAAAGATTGGTGCTCAGGTGAGAAACTTTTAAGAATTTGAGACTTACAGATGCCCGAAAATAGCACTTAAATACTTATAATTACAAAAAAAAAAAAAAAAAAAAAAAAAAAAAAAAAAAAAAAAAAAAAAAAAAAAAAACCATATCCACCTGAGCAGCCCCACCATGGTTTTGGGCGCAGATGAGTAAACTTGAAGAATTTGAGAGTTTATAGATGCCCGAAAATGGCACTTGGATACTTGAAATTTGTGAAAACTACTATCCACCTCAGCCCACTATGGTTGAGTCTGAGGTAAGACAATTGTAAGAATTTGGTACTTTTAGATGCCGAAAAATGGTAATTTAATACATAAAACTTACGAAAATTGTTATATCCACCTGATATTATGGTTGAGGCTGATTTGAGTAATTTTTTTGGAATTGGAGAACTTGTAGATGCCGGAAAATGCACTTCAATACATAAAACCTTTGAAAATTACTATATCCACCTTAATACTTTTTTAACATCTCGGCAAATCAAAGGTTATAACGCTGGCATCGACATTCTAGGCGCACGTGCGTCCCTGCACGCTGAACGTCACAAAAACAATAGCAACCAGACCATAAACCGTCAGGTACGTGACGAATTACCCACGCGCGTGTTAGTTGCCATGATAATCGCGCGTCGTGCGTTGAGTACAAAGGCCTAATGATATTTTGCACTAACATTAGACTGAAATTATATTCTTCATTTCAACATTAATTTTACCAAAATTGTGTTGAATTGTCGTTCATGAGACTCACTTCGCAGAAAAAATTAAATGTTCTTTATATACTCAAATGTTCGTTTTCGGCACCTTATGCCAACATTGTCAAAATGACAGATTAATGTTACATAAGAACATGAAATTTTATAAAATTCGTAAATTTTAAATTGCTATAACTTTTCATTTTCTTGGTCAGTTTTCACAAATCAAATTGCAGTTTATAGAAGCATTGAACAAGCTCGCGGTAAAAAAAAAAATCAGATGTAATAGACATTGCGAAGTACCCAAAATTAATAAAATAAAAACTAACACCATAAAACGAATGGCACGCATAGACTAATAATTGACGGCTGTATTCGCAACTAGTATCGGATTGTCGATGCCACAGTAAAGATCAAAGGACTGTACGCACGCGCTATGTTCGAGGGCAGAGATGTGCATCCTTCTGTTGAATTACCTTGGACAGAGGAAGGCATGGTTAACAGCTACGTACGGGGAGGCAAAGAGGCGGATGTACTGGTACAGGTATTTTTAATGCGTTGGGACCCCTCTGGAAATAAATCCTGTGTTGGGATTTAGAGAGTTATCCCAGATATCAACAATGATGACATGCTTGTTTTCTCTTTTTTTGTTTCTCTGGATGATTTTGTAATGTTGTTCTGTTGATATCGAATAAATCAAATCAAATCAAAATCAAATTTTTTATTGTGATTATAAAGCGCACAAGCACTGAATGAAGGACAAAGAAGGATACAGACACGGTCGTCGATGTTCAGCTGCTGAATAGGACACCTAAATGTAAAGTATGTAATTTCATTACTTAATTTGGCGGTTGTGACTGTTTGTGGTTAACACGGTGACTTTAAATTATACAGGTCTTAAATTGTATTATTTAATGAACATATGCCTTTGTATCATCAGCGGCACTCGCTGAAGCAGTTCGTTCCACTTTCCTATACTGAATAGTATTACTCACATGCTCCATTGTACTGTACTAACGTAATTTGAATAATGAATTCTCAAAGCGTGTGTTCTGAGTGTTCAATATTTTGTAGATGCGTGTTAGTGTAAAAATGTTTTTTATGTTATTTAAGCCTAAATAGAGTTAAACTCAGAAATTCCCTTAATGGTAAGACGCCTAAAAGGATGGCGCTACGATATATTTCTTTCAGATTTGTGCAGTCGTCTCGAAGGTAAATCATAACAAACATTTATATGTTTGGCATATCCTTGATCTTAGTGCGTGTGTGTGCAAATCTTCCAATGGAACCATGGAGATGTTATAGTTCACTATAATACCTCCATGCTTGAACTTTCGACATCAAGTTTTATTCACAAATGTACAGGTCAAGGAGGCTTGTCTCATAGCTAAATATTGTCTAGAAGGGGACCCTACTCTCCAGAAAAGAACAGCACTCACTCCAGAAAAGAACAGCACTCACCCCAGAACAGATTCACGAAATACTTTTATAAGTGTTTACTAGTTTCAACTGGCATATCAATGACCAATAACAGAAGGTACGGCCATGTGATCTCCTTTTTATCCCAGTCATTACTAACATCTTCCTCGAAGAATTCGAACAGCTAGTTATTCCGCCACTCTTTTTCTTTTTTCCCCATCCGCCCCTGGATACCGAATCCAGAAAGTCTGTACTTTTCCATTATATCGGACAGCTTTCACACCACATTCAACGCATTCTGCAACAAGCTGATATTAAAGTGTTTCATAGTGCACCCAACGAACTATCCCGGACAGAGCCAGCCAGGAGTTTATCGGATTCCATGTGAGTGTGGTAAGGTTTACATTGATGAAACAGGACGTGATGTCAGTACTGGCTCAAGGAACACCAAGGCCATGCTAGGAGAGGGGAACAACAAACGTCATCTATATAGTCATGCACTCCCACAAACAACAACACCGTGTATATGTTCGGATAAATTGAACTGATAGTGATAGCCACTGTACCATCTTGCATTCCAGACGGACCAGTGAAGCTATAGAAATTCACAAACACGATACAGTACATCAAGATCGGATTTGTCATGTTTAATCAGACCTAAACCAATGCAACAATTTTCCCGCCACACTGAAAACCATGCCATTGTTTTTGGCTTTCCTTTCACCAAGCTAGAACAATACCGCTGTCCTGGCTTTCTAGCCACGCCCCACACTTTTTGTAGTCTATTGTTTATTTTTCAACCAATCAGCGACAAGTCTTACTACCTAAAACATATAAGTATATCACTGTTTTGGAATTTCTGCAGATTTTATTCTCCTGAAGACGATTGAAGCAACTCATTGAAACGTCGAGATATTCTAAACCAACAACTGAACTTCTACATTTCTTTTCAGAACTATCTACGTGGTGTACCACAAGCATATAAACAGTTATTCCTTACTTAAATTAGTATATGATACTGAAGCACACACACACTTACACAACTAGGCTTCCCGAGATCCAACTGGTAAGTTTTCATACGTCTTGGGGTACTGTGATAATACTGTGATAAATTTTTAACAAATTGAATACATTAAAAATGACTAAACATTAATTAACTAAAAAATAATACTGTAAATAGTAAGTGGAGGGACGAGATTAATAAATGCTTTTTGTTTACTTCCCAGAGGCCTGTAAGTGATTATATTTTTTGTTTCTGTGATAATAATTGATAATGATTACATTAGCGAAACGGTTTGTGTTCATGACAATGTCTTGGTCGGGATTACTATTAAACATTAAACTAAACATTTTTTTTGTGTGTGTAATCCCTTAGAACGTATCAGATCTGAAGAATTAATTAAGTTGAAAAATGATTTAATTTCTATTAACTGTGTTAATGTCTGGATAGACTTTTCATCCAGTGATCTATGTACAAAACTACAATACGTCTTAGCAAGCTTCGATTTTTTTCGATAATATTTATCCTGAACACGTGTTTAATAACGATATTGCCCTCTTATTTGATAAATTCTGTAAATCGTACGCTTGTCGGGCATGGAAATTAAGAAGTGTACTTTTATTGGAGAAAAAATAGCAATGTTCTGAGAGGTACGCGTGACCATTTCACCACTCTTTTAAATTGTACTGTTCTTCCTTTGCTGTTGCATTTCTGATTGACTGCCTATGATTTGATGTATTCATTTTGTATTTTATTTACTTTCGCTGCTTACATGTGTATATATGTATATATATTTACAGTTTGCGCATATGTATGTTTATGTACGTATATGGGTATGTTATTATATTATTATTATTATTATTATTATTATTATTATTATTATTATTATTATTATTATTATTATTATTATTATTCGGGATTTTTTGAATTCTGATGTTAATGTTTTTTTGTTTTTGTTTTGTTTTTGTTTTTTTTTGGGATTGGAAAGGGAAGGGAGGGGGTAACTTCGATTTCGGGATTGGAAAAGGGAAGGGAGGGGTAATTAAGACTTTGATTTTTACTTTTTGTTAAGCTCATTTACTTTTACTTTTGA